TTTTTTTTTTCCTTTCTTCTTTATACTTTTAGATTTTAAAAAGAGATTTTGAGCCAAAAACATAATTTAAAAAACAAAAACAGAAATGTTTCAGAGAGCAAAGATTATTTGGTACACTGGTTTTACACATTTCCCATCTTCCTAGATGATTTGAGTGTTGGTGGTTTTCAAGCTGTACATTTCCAAAAGCCATTGTACCTTCATATGTGGACCTTGCTTGGAAGCTCCCAAATTAGACAACCTGAAGTCCTGGTGATAAAGGCTCTGCTTATCTATTTCAGTATTCTTCAAGGAACTAGTTCAAAGGGAAAAAAATCACAGAATGACTAATCCTCAGATGTTTTACCAGCTTATTGTCTGTCCTCCAGAAAATAATGTTAATGTGTTTTATAAATTTTACTGAAATGAAATTTCTCTGAGCTCAAAATAAATATTTGGAAGGATTCTTTTTGTTTCTCTGAATTTTGTTTTCTTGCCTTTCATATAGTGAAACTCTCTGGGAAATTGCAAAAGCTGAAGTGGAAAAAAGAGGAAGTAATGGAAGTGACAGTGATGGAGTTGAAATTGGAGAAAAATCTGTTTTTTTCATTGGCAGTAAAAATGGGGTAATACTTTTTGTTTTTTAAACTTTTTTTTCAATTATTGTGATGAATTAACAATCAGTAGTGCTAAAGTTCATTTTAATACTTTGATAAAATTTTACATACTTCAGCTTTTTAACCAGATTAACCAGACCAATCTGGTTTAATGTGAAATAGAAAGTATTTATTATTAATCTAGGAAAAATTATAATAGTAAACAAATTTTTTTAAAGTATATTTTAACAATTGTTTTTTATTTCATAATTTGAAAATATTTAGGTCTTCTACCTCAAGTATAAAAGCCAGGATCCATTTAAATATCTAAGTCAGCATCTAAATCATTAATATAGTATCTTAACAATGTTCATATTTTGGAATCAGTTACTTCATTTTTAGGAATCTCATTAAAGGAATAAATGAATTGTATCAATAATGTTTGTCAAAGGAGTTTTTAATTGTTTTGAAAAATGTGGGGAGAGTATGGCAGCAGTTCCATTGGACCACTGATTGGGAGGAAGAGACCCCTCCCCTGTAAGTTTCTGTTTTATTCAGCAGGAGTACGGAAAGGTTTTGGAAGTGGCCAGACAGCAGAAACACATGCATCGTATCTACTCGCAGCTTGTCTTGGCCCACAAAGTTCCTGCCAAGGAGGCAGAACTGCTGGTGACACTCTCTAAAAAGGGTCAAGGCTTGCCAGATCCAAGATGCTGAAATTCGTGTAACATCATAGTTCATTTCTCTTTGGGGTTCATATTGCTGTCCAATTTCTGTACTTCCTGCTTCCACTTAAGGGCATGGAAAAATATGAACCTTTCAGAAACTAAACTGCATGAGTAAGGCTGCATGTCAATAGGCAGCATCACTGCCCAGAGCACCCTTCTTGTCTTTGGTGTGTCCCAGAATGCCCTCCCCACACGTCCAGACACCCAACATCGTGGGTAGTATCTACAGCATGAAGATCATATTTATTGGAGGAGATAATTATGCAGCCAGAGAAGAGTTATTAGTGATGAAAGAAAATAATGTAAATATTTTTTAAATAAATAAATTTAATTAAAGAAAAAAATAACGTAATGTGAATTGAAAAAAGTAGGACACATCAATATATGGTCTCAACTACATAAATATGCAAAGACGAAAATTAGAAATATGAATGGTAAAATTTTAATCTCCGTGTTTTTATTTTGGTTTTAATTTCTGTATTTTCCAAAGTTTTCATATTGGCCCACTTTGCTTTTTTTAATTTGAATGTAATTCTTTAAAATAAAATTGTCTTAGGAATCATTTATATTTTAAATTTTTAGCCCAGCTATAGTATATAAACATTTTATTTCATGAATTTACTATTGTGAGAAGAGTGATTTTCATATTGGCTATAGTACTTTAACAATTTCCTATATTTTATCTTACTCCCATGTAGGTGCATACATGGATCAAATAAATGAGTAAATAACCAGTATTAGTCTTTTGATACAAATACATTCCTATTACAAAAAAATATTCCGTATAAAGAAGACACTTTCATATCGTTGAAGATGGCGTGTGCTAATGGTTTGATTACTAACTCCAGCACACAAATGCTTATGCACAAAATGCCCTACTAGCCTCTTCTACTAAATATGCTCTGTAACAGTTGTTCTTGACTTCTTTGTAGTTGTGACAACCTGTTTTGTTTCAGTCTATGTTTTATTTTTTGTTTGTAAAACCACCCTCTTTTTTTTATATCAATATGTGGCATATACAAACGTTTTTTGTTCTCACTAACATAAATTAAAACTAATTTTGTTTTTGAGGAATTGGCAACTCCCTTGAGATATCTAGAACTTTTGAGGGTATGGTTCTTTAAAAAGTATCTGATTCTGTGTTTATGCAGAATGCTAATTTATTTGGAAAGGTAAAGAAAGGCAATTAATGCTTCTATTGTTCAACTAATAGTAATCATTCTTTACCAAAGAAACCAACTGCCTTACTTCCTCCTCTTTCTCTCCTTCCAACCTTGTATTCACCCATTTGGCAGACATTTATTGAACATATTTTATGTGCCAGGCATCCTGCCAGATGCTGTGGAAACAGGAATGAAAGACGTATTCTCTACTGTGAAGGCACTTGGGTACTAGTACTGATACACCAACAATGACAGGACAATGAGACATGCTATGGTGGAAGATAGGAGAGGCATTTAACTCAGCCCAAGAGGTTGGGAGACTAGGAAAGCCTCCTTAAGAGAGGGTGATGTCTGAAACTTAAAGGGCAAGAAGGAAGGAAGGAGAAATAATACAGGTGAAGAGGGTTAACTGAGTATTCTAAGGAGAGGATCAAGAAAATGTATGAAACAGCTCTGCAACTAATGGGAGAGAGAACATGCTAGACAAATGTGATAGGATTGCCCGTTGATGTTAACTGCTATTTTGATATTGGGGATTAAGGTGATGCTATCTGCCCAGTATATATAATTTTTCTCCACTATCACTCACTTGCTTTGGTGCAGGCATGGAGGAGGAAGGTGATTGAGTTTACCTGCAGTTGGTTTCTGTTACGCAGGTGCAATAGAAACTAAGAAAGCATAGGGTGTGGGTGTGGATGATATTTGCAAGAGATGATTATAATGATAACCTATGGATTCTAAGATGGAAAAGGAGAATGAAGGTAGGAGGGGGCTGACGGAGAAGGAGAAATTTGGGGGGAGGGCGGGGGGGGTACAGTGACTTTTGAGAACTTTCACTGAGGCCCAAGAATTGTTACTGTGTTACTGTAGGGATTGCTGAAGTGGTTGGAGAATGTCATTTCATTTGCATGTGTGATTTTGGAAGTGGTGTAGTTTCCAGTGGTGAGATGATTCAAGATGTAACCTTGGAAGTGACATGCGGCAGAAGTAGTGAGCGAAAAGGCCTCTATGAGAAGGCAAATGCACTGAGAGGTTATGGTATTGGGTGGCTTGCCCATGCCCGCATAGGTGTGAAGTTAACAAGACTAATGACAATAGCTGAGAGGAAAAGGGAGATTGCGAGCCAAAAGAAATGACAACAACCATGGTGGTAAACCCATACAGACTGCTGAGGTTGTTGCAAAAGGAGGGAGGGAGAGTAGTTGTTTATAGATGGCATTGGGGTGCAAGGAGGGCCCTGAAGTACATGGTGTGGTGAGAATAGGTGACCTTTTTTAACAAGGCTTTGGAGGAAGTGGTCAAGGGACAGCCATATTTTAGTTAAGACCAATAAGTGGAGAGAACATTCTGAAGAGGCTGAGATATTGGGGAGTTGGCCACTCGTGGAGCTGGAGTTGTAAAAGGATTTTAGAGGAAGGGAGGGTGGGACAAGATTATTGGGCCAGATGAAAGGATGTGTAGAGGATTGTGGAATTCAGAGTTCTGGGGATAATGGATCAGAGGAGATGACTGGACTTCTGGTGTGCTTGAGGTAGTGGGAGGGAGGATGGGATTCATTTTTATGCCTCTATATGAGCTTGTACTGGGTCAATGTTTCGTGAATTAGGAATCCCAGGCGTCTGTGGACTCACTCTCAGGGGCCACAGTTTACCAATTAATTTTTAAACTTTGGATTATCGTTTTAATGATCATCTAAAACTTGATTTTAGTTTCCAGAGTTGAGTTTATGTTTATTTGGAATTGTCACCACGTAGTACCATACATTTATATGAAATTATAATAAAAAATGACTTAAACCAATACTAGGGTACTGTGAGAATCTGAGGAAATTGGCTAGCTATGATGGTACTTCAAAAAGTTCATGGAAAGATACATATTTCTTTTCTATTTTTCCACAAACTTTTTGAAGTGCCCTACTATTATATAAAATTCCTTCCGATTCTAAAATATAGTAATTCTGATTAGAGTACATTACTTTTTAGGTAATGTTGTCCTCATTTATTTAAAACTTTTAAAAATATACTATATATGATAAAAATATTACCTGCAAATCCATCAGCTAGAAACAATCGCTATTAACATAGTGGTGTCCCTCTGGATTTATTTATTTGTGGGTTTCTCTTTACATATGTATGTATGTATACCTCAAGGAAGCAGGAAAAGATTTTTTAACTGAAAACAAGATCAAGCTAATCTATTATAAATGTCTTACCATGTCAGTAAGTATATTTCTACACTGTCATTTCTAATAGCTGCATATTACTTCATGGCATGGATTACCATACTTAATTTAGCCAGTCCTCTATTTTGGGACATTTAGATTATTTCTAGTTTTTCAGTTTGTTATAATATTGGCCAAAAACATTCTCCAATAATATACATTTTTATACTATTCCAATTATTTCTTTATATATCTCATTACAAAAAATTCATTCAATTTGATCATATTCCAGATATAACCTGAAGTAATTTATCATCTTTTTTGTTAAAAATTATAGGAGGTTTTTTAGAGTAATTTATCATCTTTTTTGTTAAAAATTATAGGAGGTTTTTTATTAAAAAAAAAAAAAAAAAGTATGTAGTAAAATGTTCTGTGTTTTTGGCAATCCAGGGTTTTCAGAACTACTTTCCTTGAAACACAAAGTTTTCCTTCGGTAGAGGAAATCTTTCCCTGCTACTCCTCTTTTCATTATTTATTTATTTATTTTTATTTTATTAATATCACTTTTTTACATTCTAGGATGTTGTTATGGAGCAGTTGGGAGGGAGGGGGAGAGGGGAAAGGGGAAGGAAATGTGATGGAAGAAGGAGGAAGGAGGAGGGGCAGGATTGAGGCCTGTGGCTCCCACCACATTCCCGCAGGGGAGACCAGGGGGCTTCCAGCAGTGGCTTGGTCAGTGCCAGTCTAGGTGCAGATGTCAAGGAGGAGTGGCAAAATCCCTTGCCTCCCACCACTCTAGCTCAGGAACCCGGGGCCCTTCTTGCTGTGGCCCACTGGTCATCACTGGCTTGGTTGCACATGTCATAGTGGCATGGCTGAGACTCTCGGCCCCCCACTGCCCTGGCTTGGGAGAGCCCAGGGCATTTCCTGTGGCAGCTTGCTGGTCATTGCTGGGGTGGCTGTGGGTGTGGGGCAGCATGACCAAGGCCCTCAGCCCCCCACCACCCCAGCTCAGGAGAACCCGAGGAGCTTCCTGTGGCAGCTTGGTGGTTCTTGCTGGGCTGGCTGGGGGTGGGGGGGTTGTGTGGCCGAGGCCCTCAGACCGCCCTGAGCTCTCCCAAGCCGGGGTGCTTCCTGCAGTGGTTCAATGGTTGTCTCTGGGGTGGCTGAGGCCCTCCCCTGCCATCCTTGGGACCAGTTGCAGGTGTCAGGGGGCATAGCTGAGGCCCCTGGCCCTCCCCACTTTCTGGCTTAGTAGCCCAGGGGACTTCTAGTCCTTCTAAGTGTTATAGATGTTCTTTGGTGAAATGAGACCTTTAGTAGTTAATATCAAACTTTGTCTCTGTTTTCAGTTCTGTGTTGGATTATTTGCTGTTCCCACCACTTAAACTCTGAGCTGGAACTAATTTGTTGTCCTTTGTTTACTTCTAAAATGAACTTCCTGTGGTGACCAGTACTTGAGCTCTGTGGTTGAGCTAAATTGCTGCTTTGCTGCTGATTCCCTAGAGAAGGCTTTTTGTGCAGCACAGGTTTTAATGGTTGAGTTATAGGTACTTCTGGGTCTAGTGAAATCCAGTTTACCTGGGTTGTGTAGAAAGAATGATCTGGGCCTGAGTCTTTTCATCAAGCTGCACCCCATGCAATTCTACATTCCTTACCAGTCTCCTCTGAGTGGTCCTGCGCTGATTGGGGTGTAGATCGGTTGTCCTTGCTATGCCCCAGTGTTCCCACAGTGGACCTGTCTCCCCTACTGCCCATGCTCCAAAAACTTCTCATGGGACAGGACATGCTCTGGTCCCTTGCAATGACTCACCAGCCTCTGAGTGGCTCCTTTTTTTCAGTTGTTGTGGCTCCTTGGTCCTTTGTGGGTCCACGGGAACCCTATTAGTGGTCTTGCTGGCCTGGGGGCCGCCAAGGCTCTCTTTTCCCCTGCTGCCTCCAAGCAGCTTCATCCGAAAGGCACAGCTGCAGCTTCTTGCCAGCTCCTGCTCCATGAGCTCAGCAGCTCCAGCCTGGAAGCAGCCAGGATTCAAAATGGTCAGAGCGTTTTTTCTTTCTCTTATTGTGACTTCTCCCACCCTCTTGCACTCCCTAGGTCCCTCCTCCTCTTCCCCTGAGCTCTAGCAGCCCTGGCTTGGCTATTATTGCTTTTTTATAGTTTTAAATTTATTGCTTTGTGGGAGAGAGTGACACTGGGGACCATCTATTCCACCATCTTGACTGGAAGTCCCTGCTGCTCCTCTTTTACCTTTTCTTGTAAGGAGTAATTTGTTTAGGGGAAAAAAAAAAGAGTTTTAATGTTAAACAATGATTTAAACCACTGAACTAGTTCCTGGCTAAGATGTGAGTTTGTTTCATGGCAGAGATGGGGCCAGAACCTATATTTCCCGACTCCTAAAAAGAGACTTGAAATTAATTCTAAATTAAAACAAAGTACTCTAACCCAATATCTGAATTGCTTACTTTGAACATATTTGCAATGTGTCCTTTATTTGTATGTTATCTTTTTTCTTCATTTCTACTTAAACAATTGGAATTAACACATTTTAGAAGACACTAATCATCCACTTAACCAGTAATTAGTATTGATGAGTAGAGAGAAAATTTAAGACAGCTGCCAAGTTGACCACTAAAGTGAGGTATGATTTGCTAGTATTTGTCATCTGTGGGACTTTATAATTATAATAATGAGTGTAGTTACACTGTGATGGAAAGTTGACAGTTAACTTTTTCTACTTATCAAACTTTAGATCAATTCTGAAAGTTTTTAGTTCTTAGTTTCCAGGTAATTTATCATTCAAGTGACTAAAAAGCTATTTTGGGCCACAATGATGAACAATAATACAATTTTACATGTGGATGACATTAACACAGTATTCTTTCTTTTTGAATTTTCAGGGAAAGACTACGATTATTCTAAGGTGTCTTGACAGGTAAGTACTATGTTAACCTTTAGACTTCATTTTTGCTTATTCTAGTTGTGTAGGGCACATTAGATTCTATTTTATTTTGTTTGTTTTTGGTGGCTGGCCAATAAGGGGATCCAGACCCTTGACCTTGTTGTTTTAACATGATGCTGTAACCGACTAAGCTAATCAGCCAGCCCAGGCAAGTTAGATTCTAAAAAACATATGGAAAGAGAATGATTTTGAGACCCAAGCAACATATTTAATTCTTAGTAAATTCTTAGTATAACCTTTAAGAGCTCCTGTGAAGATAAAACTATCCAGTCAAAAAATTATATGGAATTAATACTGGATTTCCTTATTTGAGGGAGAAATGTTATCCAAATTACCCAGCCTTCAATAGTATTAACCTTCTTTCTTGCTGTGCCACTCTGGTATTTAAATTATTATTATTCTACCTAATCCATAATTATTTGAACGTTAATAATATAATCTACTTTAATATTGCTATTATCTTTTCCTCCAATTTTAAGTGCTGTATTTATGACATTTATTTATTTCAGCAATTAGCAATTGTTAGGAATATACCCAGTTCAAAAGAAAGTAAGAACATCAATATTTATGCACCTATGAATTAATCAAAATTTAAATTCACAAGAACTTATTGAAATAGTGAATACTTTATCAATTAGGAAGGGAGAAGAATGAAGATTTAGTCATGTATTAGAAGATAATATGCAAATGCCAGATAAACTTTCTTTTTTGGCAAGTAAAATATTCCATAACACTTTGAAATAAAAAAGCAATTTCTATTTTTTATTGAATAATGCCTCATATCTAGCTGGAGATTTAAATTACTGATATCTCAAATGCCCCAGCAAGCTTTTTCTTCACTGAAATATTTACATCAACTCAATCAACTTTACTTTCAGCTCAATTTTTCTTTCATTTGGCATATGAAAGGAAAACATCATTTTTTTATTTAAATAAGAATTGATTTTTTTTTTCAATTCTGTATAATTGAAAAACTCTAAAATGAGCTTTATTTGGGCTAGAACTATTCATTAATTCACTCATTTATTCATTTAAAAACTTAATATTAATTATCTACTACTTAATTTGAATAAAGAGAATCTTAAACACCAAGGTTGGAACAAAAAGTTGTAAGCCTTGGGGCCGGCCCGGTGGCGCACTGCTACAGTGCGCCGCTTGGGAGAGTGGTGGCGCTCCCGCCGAGGTTTCAGATCCCACATACAGACCGGTTCCCGCTCACTGGCTGAGCGAGGTGTGGAGGCAACACCGAGGGTTGCGATCCCGTTGCTGGTCCCGGTCCGGTACGGGCGCGACACTGAGGGTTGCAATCCGTTGCCGGTCATGAAAAAAAAGACAAAAAAATAAATAAATAAATAAAATAATAATATAATCTTTACATTTCTCTGGGGTACATTTTTTAAGCACAGTGTCAGTCCTCAAACTATACATTTTACCATTTGTTTTATATACTTCCTAACCTCCTATGCTGTAGAATCAGGCCCTCAGATTAAGACTTAGGATTATGATTGGTAAATGTTACAGGAAGTTGATAAGGAAAGACTTTAATCAATTTTGGAAGATATTTCTCTGTTACCCTTCATTCTAATGCATATTTGTTATAACTTCTCCAAAAACATTAAAAGAGATGGAATTTGATCTTAAGGTCACATTAAAGAAATATCATTTATTTGAAAAATATTACTGAAGAATACAAACAATAGAATCCTAGCTTTGTGTCATTCCTTTCACCAACAAAATTGTTTCTTAGAACTATCCACAGTGATACCTGTGTCATCTTTCCATCTCAAGGAATCGTGATTCTCTTTAAACCACATTTAGATGTTTTCCTATTATAAACAAATCATCTAATACAATATCAGGATGAAATACTCCAAAATACTGTACTGAATGGAAAGTAATTAATTTCAATTCCTTGATAGTCTACTCAGAAAAAGGACAGTTTTCCAAATTGTAGGTTAAATATCAGATCTTATACATTTTATCTTGAAAGTACAATTTTGCTTCTTAAAGGAAATTTCTGTCTTTCAGGAAATATAACCAAACATTATTCTATATGTGTGTCAAAAAAGTTATTTGTAGGGGTGATATTCAAAATGTTTAATAAATAGGTAAATCACAAATTTAATTTTTTTCTTTTTCTTTCCCAAATTAAAAATAGATATATATCAATACGAGGGTACTTCAAAAAGTTTGTTGAAAAAAGCAATTAAAAGCTAATACAAATCCTTCTATGAACTTTTGAAGATCCCTCATATTATTCAGCCTTAAAAAGATAAGAAATCCCTTCACATGCTACAGCATGGATAAACCTTGAGGGCATTATGCTAAGTGAAATAAGCCAGACACAAACAGACAAATAGTGTATGATTCTGTCTACATTGAGGTATCTAGAGTAGTCAAACTCATAGAAACAGAAAGTACAATGGTGGTTACCAGGGTCTGAGTGCTGGGGAGATGGGGAGTTGTTGTTTAATTGGTATGGAGTTTCAGGTTTTTTTTGGTTTTAGCCTTCTCATTTATGTCTTAAAATGCTGGAATAAGATTCTTTTATAACTTTTTTGTATAATTCTTTGGTGTATTAATATTAATTGTTAATGTGACATTTTCTTTTTTCAAATGAGAGTAATATTGTGAGTTACTTTCTATCTCTTAAAATATCAGCTAAAAATATGGATTTGAACTGTGGAATATTTATGAAAATATACTGTTCAAAATCTAAATTATTAGTATTTTTTAAAATGCATCTTGAAGTTGGTAGTACTGTTTGAGACCACAGGCCCTAACTGAATATAATTCTAATTTCACTTGTTTTAGTGTCTCTTCAGAGGAAGGTTAAAAGCTATTCAGGATAGAGGGAAAGTATAAATGTATGTTCGGGGGCAAAATTCCTAGATATAATTTCTTTTGTTGGAGTCCTCACATGAAAAGGGGTCATAGTAAAGTTAGTTAAAAGGGGTCTTAAATAAAGTTAGGTTTGTCGAAGAACAATCTAAGCAGAGGGTCCCACCACTCCCATAACAAATGCAAATTTTTATAGATTGATCTAGTCCAAATGTTTGCTCATTGGACAGTATATAAAGAGTTAAAACTACCTGTTGGTGCTTCCTGAATTCACCAACAAAAGGTGGTTATTAAAACTGTGAAATTAAAAAGAAAAGAAAAAAACATACTATATTGGGATGCAGGCAAACTTTTTTGTGTGTGACTCATGTGAATTTTGACATGAGTGATAATATGCCTAGAAATGTAATTATCCTTTTCACTGGAAACTTTGAGACAGCTTTCATAAGCTTAACTTTCGAGAAGAGCTCTAAAAACTCCCCTTCATCAGTAGTGAATCAAGAAAGATTTTCCGATGAAAAATTATTCCCCCACCAAGCATTAATGATTCAAATATCAACAGCAAAACAATTTTAGAGATTATGAGATGAGAGTGTCAAAATTGCAAAATAATATGTATTCATTTAAAATTTGCTTTAATGACCATCTGTGTCTTCCAGCTTCATGGTAGCAGATATGTAAAAACCCAAGTGATTCTTTTTTACCTAGTTTTTTCCATGAACATATTTTTTTTAAGTGGGGTTTTTCCATATTCAGTCTGGAAACTTTATGTTTTTCTCAAATTTAATGTTCTCTAAGAGTTCTAAATAGAACCACTTTGTTGGCTCTCACACAGTTTTGGTGGCCTGAAGTCTCCTTAGTGTTAGGACGGAAGCAGAGATGCCATTAACTAGCAGTCTAGGGAGGTTCTCATGGAATAGATGATCCTATTTCCAAACTACTTGGCTGCCTAGCCCTGTCAATCCCGTGTTATTTGAAGAGTCCTTTAAAAATAAAAAGAAGTTGTTTAGTCTCTTCTTGTTCCCCACCTACCACTTGTTGTTGTCAGTGGTAGCCTGTCAGATTCCCCAGGGGAATCGGGCACAGACTGTCTGCTTAAACTTTTGCTCAAGTAATCTTGATCTGCAACCAGAACTGCTATCTGTTCATCCCTTTTCTTCTGCCTTTTCTGTATGTCTGATTCATTTTGTGAGCTTCTTTCTTTCTAAATCAAGATGTTTTCCTATTCAACTATTTTATTTCTGTGTATAAATTTTTATTGTTGTTGTTGTTGTTTCTTTAATTTTGTTTGTTTGGGCAGCTGGCTGGTACAGGGAACAAAACCCTGGTATTACAAGGCTGTGCTCTAACCAAGTGGGTTAACTGGCCAGCCCAGATTTATAACTGTCTTTTAAAAGATAATACCAAATGTATTCAGCTGGTATTACTTAAAATTTGCTTAAGTTTGGGCCGAGCCCATGGTGCACTCGGGAGAGTGCAGCGCTGGGAGCACAGCAGTGCTCCCGCCGCAGGTTCGGATCCTATATAGGGATGACCGGTGGGCTCGCTGGCTGAGCGCGGTGCAGCCAGTCTCAAAAAGGACAAAAAAAAAAAATTTGCTTAAGTGCATGCTACATGTGATATTTTCAAAATTGGGTCACTGTTTATGTCTTCTATTAAGATATTACTAGAATTAGGGCATTTATGTACACATATAGACACTATATTCTTAATATTTTACTTTGTTCTTTGGCATTTGGTGCATTTTGATGGAGGGGATAAAGAAAGGAGAAAGTTTTGATTGCCAAGAAAGGCTTGATTGAGGACTACAATATTTTGTATCTACAATTATTACTGGCAGGTACTAATAAAGTATAAGAAGTACTTAGAATTCAAAAAATCAAAAAATTTTGACATTAAGAAATACCTGGTTTTTTTCAGCCAAAAGATATTGCTCACTTTTGGGAACTAGGTGGAGGAACCTCTTTATTGGATTTAATCAGCATACCAATCACAAGTGACACTTTACGGTAAGTGAGCCAGCTCCAAGAAGAGTTGTTAGTACACAGTAGTGTCCGCAGGATGAATATGAGTCGGCTTTTGAGTCAGAATTTTGTGGGACACTTTTATGTTGCTGAAGGCTTATACCCACTTCTTTTCTAGGTGCTGAAACTATAATGCTTTCAAAGAGATTTTAAAAGGACCAAGGTTATGGCCTGTGCTGAAGTGAAATAGTTGGCATTCCCACTAGTAATATATTTTGCAAGCCTGCAAACAAAAAAATATGTCAAATAACACTTGGGCAATGAATTCATCTGACAAAAATAAATTTGGAAAGCTTAACTCTTCCCATGTCCATCTGAGTGTGAGTTAATTCAGCTCTGAATTTTTTCTTCAGCTGGATATTGTGTCTTTGAATTTAAAGCTATTGAAGCTTCATCCGAAGGAAGACTATGTATTGGAGGAGAGAGAAAATCACTCCTTTTGCTGAGGTTAAAGAAACAGAACCTAGGGGAAAACCTCAAAACCCTTTGGTGGTGTTTTTCTGACAATGACTCCTACATGTTGACCAAATCAGATGTGGAAAATTGTGACATTTCTCACAATGTTCCTGGGAACCAGTCTTAGCCAAGAAAAACAATTTTTAAATCTGAAATATCTTTTTCTTGTCAGAGTTTAATACAAACTGTTGCTGCTGACTGGACCAGATACAAAGGGCTTGACAATTATTTATTACATTTTGGCCATTAAGATCATTTGAGTGGAATTATTTCTTGTTAACAGGACATTTATTTTGCCAGAACTAGATGGACATGGGTAATGTTGGCTTTATTTGTCCAGTGATTTTTTTCTTTTTTTTGGCCATTAAGATCATTTGAGTGGAATTATTTCTTGTTAACAGGACATTTATTTTGCCAAAACTAGATGGACATGGGTAATGTTGGCTTTATTTGTCCAGTGATTTTTTTCTTTAACTGAAATATAGTTACCTTTCTTTTACTTATTACAAAAGTAATGTATGTTCATGTAGAAAACTTGGAAAAATACTGAAAGGTACAAAGTAAGAGCACCCAGAATCACATAAAAAATAACCACTCTTGGGCCGGCCCGGTGGTGCACTGCTACGGTGCGCTGCTTGGGAGCGCGGCGGCGCTCCCACCAAGGGTTCGGATCCCACATACAGACCGGTTCCCGCTCACTGGCTGAGCGAGGTGCGGGTGCAGCACCGAGGGTTGCAATCCCGTTGCCGGTCCCGGTCCGGTACGGGCACGACACTGAGGGTTGCGATCTGTTGCCGGACACGAAAAAAGACAAAAAGGAAAAAAAATAAAAAATAAAAAAATAACCACTCTTAACATGTCAAGGTATTTTTCAGTCTTCTTAGCTTTAATATATACTTTGTACAGCTTTAGAATGTTTTATGTGGATATTTAGATCTCGTGTTTTCACCTTTCTCCTATGACATAATTTTTGGAAACATGGAATTTTACAGCTATACAGTTTTTCATGTGTCTCTCTTTAATAGAGACAAATGAGTGAAGCAGCCTGAGAATTCGTAGTCGTGTGGTTGAGAAGAGATGATGAGCGTGAGGAGTTGCTGAAGGAACTAGTTCGTATGGCTAGAGGCTGAAAGGGTGAAAGCGTGGGGCGGGCTCTTACCTGGGTTGTGAGTTGGCTCCTGTTCTGGCCCTAACTTGTTGAATTAACTCACTCCCCTTCTCTAGGCCCAAGAGGTTTGGGGCTTGTGCAGATTCTGGGTTCTGCAGGAAACCAAACCTTTCCACGGCTTCTGTGATACCTCCCTTTGTGAGGTCTTGGTCTTCCTCTCCCTCAAACCCTAGAGCAGCTGGAGCCTGTTTTAGGAGAGAGAAGGGTCAGGGTTATGATGACCAGAGGGACCGGGAGCCGTAGGCCTGGGTCCAAAGAAGGTTGCTGAGTGGCTAAAGAATTCATGGAAAACATTTCACACTTAATATAGTTGCTAATCTCAGAGCATTTTTTGACAGAATTAGTTTGACACATAATTTCCTTGTGTTGGACAAAGTTCAGCAACTTGAGAAAATAATATTGCCAAATGCTGTTAGGTACTGTATATATTTGAAATAACTGTTTATAGAATTATGGATGTTTTGACCATTTCTACAGACTTTCGGTAATTTGTAATAGAACATTTCCTGTGGTCTGATTCCCTGTTTTAAGAGTTTACTTAAAAATAATTTTTTTTAGCTGTCGTTTGCTATGAAATAGGTAAAAGGTAACAAGTCTTGCCAATGTAGTATAAACAAAAATTTTAATTGTGGAGAAAAATTGAGTAATTCATCTCTCTTTTTGCTTAAAGCAAATTTATTTTTCATTTGAAAAAAATAAATTTTATGTTATATGTATTTTACCACAACAAAAAGTTAAACCATAGTCATCTTTTTTTCAAACATAACCACATTAAAACCTTGAAAATAAAATTAATTTCCTTACTATTAAATATATGTTATGTTATTTTTATAGTTAATCAAAACTGTTTATGAGCTTATTAAAATGACATAGATATGATTGGCTAGACAGTGTAATAGCACAGTAATTTTATAGAAAGGTTTAATAATTAATGTCTAAACGACTACTTTCTGAATTTAGACCAACAGTGTAGAATTTTGCTTGAATTACAAAAAATATCTAGTTTGTTTAAACTAAGCAAAATAACTAACATATACAGTATTATAATTTCTTGCTGTATTTTCTAGCAGAATATTTGCCCTGTTGATTAAGGATATATTGGCCCATGATTATGGTTCTGCGTACTGATTATGACCATCTTCTAAAACACTCCTAGATTTATGTGTTTGTTTTTTATTGTGGTAACATACACATAGCATAAGATTTATCATTTTAGTTATTTTTAAATGTACAGTTCACTGGCATTAAGTATATTCACATTGTTGTACAGCCATCACCACCACCCATCTCCAGAATTTTTTCATTTTCCCAAACTGAGACTCTGTTCCTACTAAACAATAACTACCTATTTCCCCCTCCCCCCAGCTCCTGGCAACCATCATTTTACTTTCTGTCTCCATGAATTTGACTACTCTACTACCTCATATAAATGATATTGTACAATATTTGTACTTTTGTTATTGATTTATTTTGCTTAGCATAATGTCTTCACGGTTCATCCATGTTGTAGCATATGTCAGAATTTCCTTCCTCGGGCCAGCCTGTGGCTCACTCGGGAGAGTGCGGTGCTGATAACACCAAGGCCCCGGGTTCGGATCCCATATAGGGATGGCCAGTTCGCTCACTGGCTGAGCGTGGTGCTGACAACACCAAGTCAAGGGTTAAGATCCCCTTACCGGTCATCTTTTAAAAAAAATAAAAATAAAAAAATTTTTAAAAAGAATTTCCTTCCTTTATAGACTGAATAATAAATATTCTATTGTATGTACACACCACATTTTCTTTATCCATTAATCCATCCATGGACATTTAGGTTGTTCCCACCTTTTGACTATTGTGAATAATGTTGCTGTGAACAATGTTGCTATGAAAAATCTGTTTACATTCTGCTTTTAATTTTTTTGGCTATAGACCTAGAAGTGGAATTGCTGGATAATATGATAATCCTATGTTTAATTTTTTGAGGAACTGCCATACTGTTTTCACAGCAGCTGAATCATTTTATGTTCCTACTAGCAATGCACAAGGGTTGCAATTTCTATACATCCTCACCAACACTTATTTTCTAGCTTTTAAAAAATTTTTTTGGACAATAGCTATCCCAGTCAGTATGAGATGATATCTCACTGTGGTTTTGGTTTGCATTTCCCTAATAATTAGTGATGTTAAACATCTTTTCATGTGCTTCTTGGCTATCTATATATCTTCTTTAGAGAAGTGTCTATTTGAATCCTTTGTTTTTTAAGTGGGTTTGTTTTTTTTGTTGCTGAGTTTAGATTTATGTTCAACATGCATGAACATAGTACAAATGCATGTGGTGATGTTGGTGATGTATCTGGTGTTTAGGGTGTGCTTGCAGAGACAGAATGATATAACAGAAGGACATGTAACTTTGAATCTAAATACCAGTTCTACAATTTACTAGTTATATAAATCTGCACCTCAGACTTCTAATCCATAAAATGGACATCATACCATCTTCTAGAAGGAGTGGTTGTTAAGATTAAATAAGCTAGGCAGATTCTTAGCAAAGTCTATCAGTAAATCTGTTGCATTCTCCTTTCCCTGATTGTTGTGTTGCTGCTCCTGCTCTTGTTATATTGCTTCTCTTCTTTGGAGCACATAGTAAAATTGGATCCAGACATGGCATTCTTGGACCCAACTGCTTGCAACTTCTCAGTTTGAACTGGATTATTTTTAGTTCAAATAAAAACATGAGTGCCGCTAGTGGTTGTAACACTTAAAAATTACTAGTGAAAAGCATTGGAATAAATGAGCATAACTTTGGCCTTTTTTTTTTTTTGGTATTAGAATAATGCTATGGTTTTTATTTTTCCTTAAGCTATAGTGTTGTTATTCTTAGATAAATTTCAGTATACTAGTATTTCAAAATGGTAATTATTTTTAGTCTTTTTTTAAAGATGTTTTTATTTCTTTAGGACATTCTCTATTGTTCTTGTTTTGGATCTTTCAAAACCTAATGACCTTTGGCCCACCATGGAAAATCTGTTGAAAGCCACAAAAAGCCATGTAGATAAAGTGATAATGAAACTGGGAAAGACAAATTCTAAAGCAGCTTCTGAAATGAGACAGAAGATATGGAGTAATATGCAGAAGGACCATCCAGTGAGTTGCTGTTGAGATTATTCCTGGAATCCTCAGCACCATACATAGTTAACGATAACATCACAAACAACTTCTTTGGATTTTTATGCATGACTTGAAATTCATTTGATGTGAATGAATATGCTCACTGGAAAATTATAGCAATTTAATAAAACATCAGAGCAAAACAAGGAAAAAGATTTCCTGTGTCTTCTTGTTAGACATCTACTATGATTGTTACGGCATATAATACCAGTCAAAAGAAATAGAGTTTTAAAGTAATAGTTTGATACTGATTTTATAATCTCTGTAAAATGAAGATAAAGAAACAAACTGTACAAAAGTCACCTGGCAAAGACTAGATGAAGCTACAGATTTAAGCCAGGAGTAGAGTTGTAACAGCTTTCACTGTCACTCTATATTTTACATTCATTTAGTGTCTGTCACATATTCAATGTCTTTTGATCATCTGACAACTAATTAAATTATAAGTTGCTGTGATATTAACACAGGTTCTTTAAATACAGTAAATACAATTATGAATATCATCATCTAGAAAACTAAGAGCATTTTATATTGCCCAGAATTTATATGAATGTGTTTACATAAGTAATATTGAGACAGAACAAATCCATACTATATAAATGCTATTACAACAAATAATAGAAAAAAAAAACAGGAAGATGATATTTTGTATAGGAAAATAAAAGGACAGAACAAGAAAAAGAATAAATATCATAGTAATTTAGGGAATTGCCATTTCTATTTTATACTTAAGAAATGTATAATTTAGTAAATGAAAGTTAAATATTAGAACAAATTCTATGTCAAGCAAACAAAGTCAACATCTGTGAAGAGAATGAAAATGGTATATTTTTGGAAGTAAGTAGGAATTGCTGAGCACATAGCTATAAACAATTTAATAAGTTAATGAAATATGCTTATTAACAGGATCGTGAGTTAACTGACCCATTTCCAGTACCCCTGGTCATCATTGGAAGTAAATATGATATTTTTCAGGTAAGCTCTTCCATTTCTGAGTTTGTCGTACATGCATGGCTATACTTTATGTGGGAGGTACAAAAATGATGAAAGAAGGAAAACGATTCTGGGAGGGATAAGTTAAGTAATCATACATCTTAAAGATTTTTGAAAAAAGATATCATTGAATAAATACAGTGGTTAGAATGGGGATAAGGCAGAAGATTTAGAAAGTGAATCTTCAGGGGCTGTGTGGTTAGCTCAGTTGATTACAGTGCAGTATCATAACACCAAGGTCAAGGGTACAGATCCCCTTACAGGCTAACCACCAAAAAATTTAAATAAATAAATGTTAAAAAAGAAAATGAATTTTCAACCCAGTCACTAAGGGATGGGACTTACTTCCCAACTTTTAAATTGAAGAAAGTAGGAAATTAGTTTCTTCTTATCTTTGCTTGTCAGAGAATCCTTAGGGTACTCCACATTATAAGATGTGTGCTTATATCTAAATTCTATGGAGCTGAGTGTTTAGACAAAGAAAGACCTGATAGCTGTAGCTCTAGAAGGCTGCAGCTATTGTTCAACTCTATAGAAATAAATATCAGGGTAATGGAATCCTACTCCTCAGGGTGAGTTTAAAAAATATAAGAAATAATCTGTTTATACATTTAATAATTTGCATCTTTCTGCTACAGATATTTAGTTCTCTCAACTAGTTTTTTCTTTTTAATAACATATTTCTACAGGATTTTGACTCTGAGAAAAGAAAGGTAATTTGCAAGACTCTTCGATTTGTTGCACATTATTACGGAGCATCATTAATGGTTTGTACATTTCCTATCCTTTGGGCTTGAATGAGCAGTACTGAATTAGGAAAAATTAGCAACCTGAAGCACAGCTATGAATAATAAATGCTATCACTAATTCAGGTTGTCCTCTCCTTTCCTTTCCCACTATCAAAGACCTCTTACAGAGTGTTTGATAGTGTCTCTACAGAACGCACTCTGCTAGATGGCCTACTTGCCCTTTCTTTGGAGCAAAAGTTCTAAATTGCTTATATCCGTAAACCCCAGTCAAGCTTAAAGAGATAAATTGGTTATCTATTTATTCATTTTAATTTCCCCTTAAGAATTAGAATCTGTATTCCCTCAAAAGAAAAAAAACCAACAAACAAAACAACTTTAACAACGTGTTCTTTTTTGACTTTAAAAAAAAAAAAAATGGGGCCGGCCCGGTGGCACACTGGATAGTGCGCCGCTTGGGAAGCGCGGCAGCGCTCCCGCCCGAGGGTTCGGATCCCACATACGGACCGGTTCCCGCTCACTGGCTGAGCGAGGCGCGGGAGCAACGCCGAGGGGTGCGATCCCGTTGCCCGCCCCCGGCCCGGGACGGGGGCAACACTGAGGGTTGCGATCTGTTGCCGGACACGGAAAAAGACAAAAGACAAAAAAAAAAAAAAATGGGGCCGGCCCGGGGCCGCACTGGCTAGAGCGCCCCTTGGGAAGCGCCGCCGCGCCCCCGCCCGAGGGTTCGGATCCCACATACGGACCGGTTCCCGCTCACTGGCTGAGCGAGGCGCGGGAGCAACGCCGAGGGGTGCGATCCCGTTGCCCGCCCCCGGCCCGGGACGGGGGCAACACTGAGGGTTGCGATCTGTTGCCGGACACGGAAAAAGACAAAAGACAAAAAAAAAAAAAAATGGGGCCGGCCCGGGGCCGCACTGGCTAGAGCGCCCCTTGGGAAGCGCCGCCGCGCCCCCGCCCGAGGGTTCGGATCCCACATACGGACCGGTTCCCGCTCACTGGCTGAGCGAGGCGCGGGAGCAACGCCGAGGGGTGCGATCCCGTTGCCCGCCCCCGGCCCGGGACGGGGGCAACACTGAGGGTTGCGATCTGTTGCCGGACACGGAAAAAGACAAAAGACAAAAAAAAAAAAAAAAATGTACCATTTGTGTTAGTGGTTAAAAACATGAACTCTGAATTCATGCTGCCTGGGTTCAGATCTCAGGGAGACCACTTACATATGTGACTTTAGGCAAATCACTCAGTCTCACTTATGCCTCACTCTCCTCCGGGGTAAAATGGATAAAAATAATAAGTTCTTCATAGGGTTGTTGTGACTGTTAAAAGAGGGAGTATGTGTGAAATGCTTAGCACAGGCCCTGAAACAAAGTATTAATAAATTTTGGTTATTATAATTATGGTTATCATTATCTTCCATAGCAGGATCAAATTTTGCTGGATATTCTTCAATATGGTAAAATACGAAAGCATTTTTATTTTAAAAAGCACTTCTTTCACAATTGAATAATTATTTAATGGTCTCTTTTTTCCTCAAAATCAAAGCACTCAGGAACCTAGAGACAACATGGTCTAACCTTTACCCTTCATGGCTAGAAGATTATGACTAAAAGTAATATATACAATATATATTTTCAATTTTTTATACTTCCAAGCACATTTCATTAAGTATTGTTTTAAAAATCATCACCTTTGATGTTTAAACTGTATCTGCTTACATATTAGGTTGACAGAGTACTTTAGAAAATATTCTTTAGGGGCCGGCCCGGTGGCGTACTGGATAGTGCGCCGCTTGGGAAGCGCAGCAGCGCTCCCGCCCGAGGGTTCGGATCCCACATACAGACCGGTTCCCGCTCACTGGCTGAGCGAGGCGCGGGAGCAACACCGAGGGTTGCGATCCCGTTGCCGGTCCCGGTCCGGGGGCAACACTGAGGGTTGTAATCCGTTGCCGGACACGGAAAAAGACAAAAAAAAAAGAAAATATTCTTTACTATTTTGAAAAGATAGGCGCTCCCACCGAGGGTTCGGATCCCACATACAGACCGGCCGCTCGCTGGCTGAGCAAGGTGCGGGCACAACACCGAGGGTTGCGATCCCATTACCGGTCAGTAAAAAAGACAAAAAAAGAAAAAAAAAAAAAAAAGAAAATTTCTAATGTTCTCCTAGCCCTATGTTCTATGAAATACATTTGTAATTAGGTTTTTCCTTTCCCATAAAGGAAATATAATATAATAAAATTAAACAGAATAGTTGTATTTTTAAAATTTAATTAAAGGGTTCTATATATTTTTTTAAAAACTTTATCTCAGTGGAAGCACTAAAATTATTTCAGAGCTTTCTTTCAAATAAATGTATCAAATCCTGTATATTCACACAAGTGTTATCCTTTGAATCCTTTCACTGAGAGCCTGTTCTTAATCCAGAATGAAATTTATCTTGAGGGGGCCGGCCCGGTGGCGCACTGGATAGTGCGCCGCTTGGGAAGCACGGCGGCGCTCCCGCCGGAGGGTTCGGATCCCACATACAGACCGGTTCCCGCTCACTGGCTGAGCGAGGCGCGGGAGCAACACCGAGGGTTGCAATCCCGTTGCCGGTCCCCGGTCCGGTACGGGGGCAACACTGAGGGTTGCGATCCGTTGCCGGACACGGAAAAAGTCAAAAGACAAAAAAAAAAAAGAAATTTATCTTGAGGAATTGCCATTGGAACCATAAAATTGATATCTTTGCTTCACAATTACATTTCATTTCAGTTCAAGGTGGTTTTTTATACGTATTAATCTAATGATTTGGCTCTGAATGACTTTTGGCATCTCCAAAATCAAATCTAGTCTTAAAAGATTTGTAGGGTAACCATATGTCCTGGTTTTCACCTTATGTCACAGCTTAATTATTAATAATGCACCCCATTTCATGGTCCCTCTAGTTATATACCACCACTGAGAATATTCAGTAACTTATATTTCAGGCTCCAAAGGCAATTTAAAGAGAAGTTAAAAAATCATTTTAAGGGAGTATAAGTATTGTTGGACCAGTCTGCAGCTCCCACATTGTGTTTCAAAGGCAGAAATATGCCGTTGGATATAAAAGTTGGTTTTGATGTATACCCCTTATTTCATAACCAACACAATTGCATTTTGGAAATTTTTCTTTTAGACCAAAATAAGAGTATGTTGACACTCACACACCCACCCACTCACCCATAAACACACATGCGTATGTAAATATATATATTATGTACATATGTTATATAAAAATATATAAACTAAAAAAATATTTTTGACAATGATTATGATGCATTTCAGTAGCTGAAATGATTAATGCATAAACACAAGTAGTTTCCACATAATGCAGTCCTGAAGTTTGAAGAATGAATAAAACAAATTTATTGAGATTTCTTTATTCAGGTTTTGTTTTGTCTACTCAAACATAAGTATTTGTTGGGCAAATAAATAGTAATTCTCTCTACAATCTGTACTTGTTCAGTCATATTTATTTTTCCTGTTTCTGTGATTGGAAAGTAGAGCATATAATTTATTCTCCTGATTTTTTTAAAGTTTACCAGTAAATCAGAAGCTCTCTTACTAAAAATACGTGGAGTTATCAACCAGTTGGCATTCGGCACTGACAAAAGGTACTGTTAAAATAATATTTTTACTCTTTCGTTTTTTATTTTTTGCCAGTGTTGTCTCATCTGATTATTATTCTCACCAGTCTTTTATTTCTTGAGCAGGAAAGTGCCCCAGATGGCTTTTCTTAAAGGGATAAGTTCATATTGTTTCCTGCTTCTTACATTGTTTAAATATTTCTCAAATTTTACAACTAAAATATTATATAATACTTAGTTTGAAACTGGAATAAGATAATGATACTATTACACTAGCACTCTGATTTCTTTTACCTCTTTCCCCCCATTTTAATACCTTTCCCTCTATTATTACTATCTTATATTGATTTGAAATGGGATTGAAAATTTAAGTATGTATCTTTCTTAGCCTTGCTAATTCTCCTGGTTTTGATTTAAGGTAATATGGGTCTGTCACTTTTTTTTCCCCTGTAAAACCTTTATTTATGCTATATTTTAAGTTTTGAAATCCCTTAAATTGACATTCACTCATTCATTTGGAGACATGCTCTCATCAGTGGCTAGATATGAAACTTGGCTTTCATGTTTACAGTCTGGCAGTATATTTGATTGCTAAACTAAATTAGAATCTTTTTTCTTCTTCATGTAGCAAATCGATATGTGTGGATCAGAATAAACCACTGTTTATCACAGCAGGGTTGGATTCTTTAAGTCAAATAGGTTGGTGAACTTATTAAGATTGTTCAATCTTTTTTTTATTGCTTATTGATTTTATCCTACTCCATGTTCAGTTCATCTCCATCTACCACCATTTCTGGTTTCATTATCATTGCTGTTATTTCATATGATTCATTTGTATACCCAGTATTGATGCAACATACATCATATTGACATATCTGTGATGGAAGAGATGTCACCACATAAGAGACTGATTTCTGACCTCTGTTCCACTAAAATATTTGCATGTACCTATATTTCCTTTCCCTCACTGATTTCCAGGTACTTTTAAATTTTAGCCTTGGGTTTAGAAGAAACGAGGAGCATAAAGTGGTCAGGAAATTTAAAGCTACATACTATGGGAAATGATCAAATATGTGAGTTTGAAGTAATAGAAGAAACCAAAAAGAGCACAGTTGTACCAGTTAGATATTTCCAAATTTTTCATTATTAAAATAAGTTGCCCTGTCAAATGGAATGTATTTCCCAGACTCATAGACTCCAGTGGCTTCTGAATCAACAGACTTTAAGAGTTTATATATGAAGCCCTTTATCTTCCCATAGAAACTATTCCCATTGTGAAGATCTTTGGTTTTAACACTCTAATGGGCAGCAGCTTTTTGTATTTCCCATTCTCTATTACTCTTACAAGCTAAACATAACTTGACTTCATATATAGAGATCTTTGTAATGAGATTATAGATTAAATTGGAATGAAAAGAATAGAGGTGGTTTTACTTAATGAGTGGTCATGGAGGCTGATTTTTGTAATTATCGTTAGTGTCAACTTAATTTCAATAGCAGTGAGAATCTCTGTGTGTCCTGATGGTAATGCTGATGGAATTCTTTTGCCCATATGAACAGTTGGAGGTTAGAAGAGGGTTGATAATTACTGAATGTAAAAATCATGGATCTTAGACCTCATCAAAATTAAAAATTGTGCTATGTGAAAGCCCATGTGAAGAAGATGAAAAGACATGCTACAGTCTGGAAGAAAATATTTTTAACTGCATATCTGACAGAGGACTAATATTTAGAATATATGAAGTACTCAACAGTAAAAAAAAAACCCAAACAATCCAGTTAGAAAATAGGCAAAAGACATGAGCAGACATTTCACTGAAGAGGACATAAAAATGGCAGATAAGAATATGGAAAGGTGTGCATATCTGACAGAGGACTAATATTTAGAATATATGAAGTACTCAACAGTAAAAAAAAAACTCAAACAATCCAGTTAGAAAATAGGCAAAAGACATGAGCAGACATTTCACTGAAGAGGACATAAAAATGGCAGATAAGAATATGGAAAGGTATTTAATACCATTAGTCATTAGGGAAATGCAAATTGAAACCACATGAAATATCACTACACGCTTATCAGAAGAGCTAAAATGAAAAAAAGTGACACCACCAAACACTGGTGAGGATGCAGAGAAACTGGATCACTCATACGTTGCTGACGGGAGTGTAAAATGGTACAGCCACTCTAGAAAACAGTTTGATAGGCAACTACCACATGGCCTAGAAATTGTGCTATTGGGCATTTATCCCAGAGAAATGAAAACTTATGTCCACAGAAAAATCTGTATGCAAATGTTCATTAACAACTTTATTTGTAATAGCCAAAAACTGGAAACAATTCAGCTGTTTAACAGGTGAATGGCTAAACAAACTGATATATCCATACCATGGCATATTACTCAGCAATAAAAAGAAATAAACTAGTGATTTACACAACTTGGATGTATCTCCAGGGAATCATTCTGAATGGGGGAAAAAGCCAATCAGACAAGGTTACATACAGTGTGATTCCATTTATACAACATTTTTTAAACAAAAACATTTTAGAAATGGGGGCAGATTAGTGACTGTCAGAGAGTAGGGACAGGACTGTGGGTGAGGACGTCAGGGGAGGGGTCTGGAAGGAGGTGGGTGTGTCTGTAAAAGGGGTTAGGGTTAGTGGTGATGGAACTGTTCAGTATCTTGACTGTGGTGGTGGATACATGAACCTACGCTGGTGATAAAATTGTAAAGAACTTAATACGTGCACACACACGCACACACACCCACACACACACACACACACACACACACAAAGGAGTACAAGTAAAACTTGGCCAAGTTGAATAAGTTTAGTGGAGTGTATCAATGCCTTCCCACCGAAGTAGTAAGGAAGCCCTAGAAAATCAATAATGAGACAGTTTTGATGAATAATATAGATGCTGGAAATATAAAAAATAAAAAACTTAGGTTATAGATTGAAAATTGCCAGGAAGTGGCAGCAAATCCTTAAATTTTCAAATTAATTTAAATTATACAAGCAATATATAAAGACACTCTTCTTGTAAAAAGCTAAAATAGTGCATGTAAGGAGCAAGTTTGGGATGTATCATTTTAGATAATTTTTTATGCATTTACATACCTGCGTATGTGGTACAGAAAAAACTATTTGCTTTAACATAATTGTATCCATCTATATCTACCATTTTGACAATTGCCTTTTTTATTCACTATGCCGTAGTGGTTTTTCCATATTAATGCTACATATTAAGTCTATTTGTTATTTTAACTGTTGGACAGTGTTACAAAGCATGGCTATGCACAGTAATTTACTGCACTGTCCACTATTTATGGACATTTTGGTCGTGGTCAATTTTTCACTAATACAAATGTTGCTGCCCTGTGAATCCTTAATGCATATGTACATATGCAGATGTTTCTAGGGTAAACATCAAGAACTGTAATTACTGGTTAATATGATATAGGTATAGGGTGTGGGGAATGAGAATTATAGTTTACTCATTACTCTTTGCCTCTTCTTCCAGTGCTAGAGTCTGCCCCAGAGGCCTTGCTATGCTGGTAGATGTAAATTTTAATGGCAACTATATTAAGGAAAAGGAAAATGAATGATCTAAGACTTATACTTTTACAAGTGTCATCTGTTTTATTGATAGAGTTTTTAATGTTTTAATCAATGTAGTCATTTGGAGTAAACCTTGCAATTTTAGGATCTCCTCCCGTTCCTGATAATGACATTGGAAAGCTTCATGCCAATTCACCAATGGAATTGTGGAAGAAAGTGTATGAGAAGCTCTTTCCACCAAAGGTATATATTTCTAATTCTTTTAAAACAAAAATTTTTAGCACTATTCAAGAATTATGGGAAATGTTCCAAAGGGCTTATTATGATAACTTTTTATCTCTCATGCTCAAAAATCAATTAAACATTTGCCAAAAATCTATTGTAAATAAGACATTGTGGGGATTAAAAGATGAGTACAATATGGTTCCTGCTCCACTTTTAGACGAGCTCTCTGGCTGTTAGAGAAGGGAGAGACAGCATCTGAAAGGGGAAGGAGACAAGAGGACCTGGTAGAATTTGAAATGGGCCTCAAAGGTGAAGGTCATGGAGAACCTTCAGTGGCAGGCTGAGGAATGGGAGGTTGGTTTGTTAAGCAGTTGGTAGCCATTGAAGATTTTGAGTCATGGGCATGAAATGATTTGGAGAATTGTAATTTCAGAGTATCAGCACACTAAAAGATATCAAAGACCCGGCCCGAGATCCTCAGTATGCTGAAAGTGAAGTTGACGAGATGAGAATTCAGAAAGATCAGGTATTGTCCTAAAATACATCTGCACTATAGAAAAAAAAATAAATTCTGGTATGTATAGAGAAGAAATTTTAAAATCACCTGTCATTCCATCACCCAGAGATAACTTAATATTCACATACCCTTTTTTGTTTTTCTGGTTTACTTTATGTTAGAGATGGGTAGTGATTCTTACCTTGCTGCTGGAGAGACACTTTCATAATATTCTTTTGTTTGTGGGATTATCTGGAAGGTTTTGCTTTTCATTAGGACTTTCAGATGTACCTGTGCTTTTCTTGTACCAGAGAAATTACCTTATCTAAGTAAGGACTACCCAGTCTGAAAGCATACAAGCATACCTGACAGAATCCAGGATCTTTCAAGAAAATGTTTAAATGTGGAGACTGCCGTTCCATATATTCCTAGATAGCCCCATTTGAACACACAAGTCTCATGTAAGAATGCAAGAATTGGTAAATTTACCATGACTCAAATACTTTGATTTTTCTCATATCTTCTTTTAGTTTGATAAAATAAGACTTTTTGCAGAATCTGTCCTTATATGATTAAGTTTATGGATAGTGAGCTCTATAAATCGAAAGTCCTGACAACCTCTCAGGAGGGATTTGTAGAGCTGCGTTAACTTGGGCAGTCATATGGTTGTGAGTGTAACCTGAACACAACTGTGTGCTGGGAGCATGACCAGGGTATTTTTTTCAGTGTTAACCTTTCACCTTCAGGGGCCCTAGAATAAGTAAGCTGAACATTTTATTTAAATATAGGCTGGAAGACTTTTGAAAAATATGCCATGAATATTTAGAGGGTTTTGTAGCTGCCTCAAAGTGAGAGACATGTAGAAACAGTAAAATGACCTCATGTAACCCTTATTATGTACGCAGCTTGGATATAGAGATTAGCTGGAGTCATCCCTGGATTAATAATTATCTAGGAGTCAGTGATTAATTGCTGTTGTTGATAAGAGTATCTTTATATAACATAATGATCACTTTTATTAGGTTCACATACATAGATATTGTTAAAGGACTAGGGTATTTCTGAGCATCATGACTTTTCACATTCATATCAGTCTTCCCTAACTGACTTAAACCATAGGGATTTTTGAGTGAAATGGAAGGCAACCCCACAGCACCTTTATCATTCTTCACTCAGCACTTGTATCTCATTGCTAGCAGGTCACTAATTGCTATAAGCTCTTGGTTGAGAGGGTTTTTTATAACCTACCTGAAAAGTTATAATATCCTAATTTTGCCTCTAAACTGGTTTCTGTTACACTTTCCTCTGTGTAACCAAGACAGAAAAAAGAGAAAGAAAGAATTCACTCAAGGTAACATGAATGAGGCTTGGAGGGACTGCCATCCATCAGGGGAGCAGCAGCCCTGATTCAAAATCAGCCTTTCTTCTTATTGACAAGACAAGGAAGTTTCACAAGAAAAATCAGTTGATTCAATCATCAAGGAAGAACATAAAAACAGGCAGTGTAAAACTAGTAACAGCAGTAAATTAACAATGTGACATTCCAGAATGTAATTTGTAAAAAGCTAGGTCAATTCACCAACAGCTTGTCCTTAATAAACATTTTCTTTTTTACATACTTCTTACAGCGATTTCTATAGCATATTTAAACAGCATTTAAGCAGTTTCCTTAACATATCCAAAGAATAATCAGTAGGTCAAATAGTCAATAGTCATTCCAGCTAGAATCAAACCAGCAACCTAAAACAGTCAAAGTACACAATTCTATCCCTAAACAGTGATTAGAATTGATTAGATGGCTTTTGCCAAACTTATCTGTGGACTTTTGTCCCCTACTCAAGAGCCTTTTAGCTCATTCATGCATTACCTAAAAATCCTATTCTAAGATCAAAGGAGAATCAAGTTTTACACTGCCTGTTTTTATGTCCTTCTTTGATGATTGAATCAACTGATTTTTCTTGTGAAACTTCCTTGTCTTGTCAATTAAAGGAAAGGCTGATTTTGAATTGGGGCTGCTACCCTGATGGGTGGCAGTCCCTCCAGGCCTCATTGATGGCACTTTGAGTGAATTCTTTCTTTCCCTTTTTTCCGTCTCGGTTACACAGAGGAAAGTGTAACATAGGTCTTTGTAGTAAAATATTTCTTTTATGATAGTTGTCCAGAATCCCTCTTGCTCCCAGTACCCACAGTTGCATGGAGATCCTCACAACCCTTGAAGCAAGTCCTCCAGGTCTGAGGATTGGTAGGAAAACCCCTTTCACCTTTCCTGCAGACTAAGCGTCTTTCCTAATTAGCTGTCTTTTCACTAATTACTCTTTTGCCAGACTTCACATGGGCACCAGAAAATACTTAGTTGGTATTTTCTTTTTTTTTTTTTTTTTTTAAGTCCTCTAGATTTAAAGCAATCCTGAATTTAAAGGGAATGTGAGTATAGAAAGCACTTGCTGAGCCCTTCTACCTCTTTTCTGTATTATTAAAGAAAAAAAAGAAAGAAAAAGAAAAGGTTTTGACACATATTAAAAGACCAAAAATATAGACAATTATGTTTAAGGTCTTCTTGGCCAGCTACAGATATCTATTTTGAATACCTGATTTTAAAAATCAACTTGCCTTATAATCCCTCGGGCTATAATTTAATTAAACACACAAACACACTAACTCACATGTTTAGAAAAAAAGTTCTTACTGTCCATTATTGAAGATGCTGTTTTAAGCACTGCAAGACTATGGTCTATTATAAGACCATAGTCCATTTATATTTGAAAACTTTAGAGATTTTAAGAGTCAGGGTAGGAACCTTCTTGGTTTTGCTTTTACTTTTAAAAAAATGGCTCCTTAAAACAGCCATGAAGAATTGTAGTGTAAAGAAAAACCTTACTTGCTATCCCTTTAAAATATTACCATATTACATCGAGTGCAGGTGGTAGCAGTATGGACGATCTAGTGGACTTGATGAGTGTTGTGTCACACCAGGTATTCTTTATTCTGCCTCTGGCATGGCCTGTGTGACCAGCCCTCCTATTCTTCTCTCAGTTTGCTGTCTGCAGAAGGGAGATACTATTGGCAAAGAATCTCAAAGCAGTGTCCTCACCTGTATCATTGGTAAAAATAATTCAACACTTCAGTTGGAGACAAAGTTTGCAACAACCAATTTGTTTATTCTTTGTGAGTTAACAAGCTTTGAAAGCATAAATGGTAGATAACTGGTGAACTGAATTAACTTCATTAGAAAAAAAAATAAACCAAGCTGTAAAGATTACTTTGGAGTTATTACTATAAAAATTCTCCCAAAGTCTGTATACAGTTTTGAAACTTTTTTTTTGTCTTTTTTGTGACCGGTAAGGGGATTGCAACCCTTGGCTTGGTGTCGCCCGCACCGCACTCAGCCAGTGAGCACACCAGCCATCCCTATATAGGATCCAAACCTGCGGCCTTGGCGCTCCCAGCGCCGCTGCGCTCCCAGCACCGCACTCTCCCGAGTGCGCCACGGGGCCGGCCCTACAGTTTTGAAACTTTTAACACTTAAATTTTAATAATTTAGAATATAAGTATGAAAGAAATAATTTGCAATTTTTCTGAAAATGAGAGTGGATTTTCTTTTCATAGCAACTGTGAACTTCAATTATGTTAGCCAAAGGGCAGTGATTGCCTTATCTAGCAGAGTAACCATTTTTTGTTATCCAATATAGTAACCTTTGTATAGTCATTTAGACACTGAACAACATGTTGGAGGCCCGGAGGCAATCCCCTTAGATGATCCCTTTTGCTTGTCAGTTGTCTTGTGCAGGATTTCCACCTCTGCCAAAGTTTCTTTATTTTATGAATTGTAAAATTAACATGCTCATTGTGAAAAAATTCAAAAGATATAGAAATATATAAATAGAAAATGGAAGTATCCTGTCCTATCCCAACCTATTTGCTTTTCTCTTGTGGCGCATACGACCACCTTTTTTTTTTTTTTGCCAGCTGCCTAGGAGGCCATGTGTGAATGAACGTTGGTGTGTTTAAGTAGTCCTTATTGGGGGACACCTCTGTTGTTTCCAATTGTGTGCTGAGGTACACAGTGCAATGAGTATCCTTCTATTTACATCCTTGTGCACTTCTCTATTATTCTATATGATAAATTTCTAAAAATAGAATTGCTAGTTCAAAGTATATATACATTTTAAATATTAATATTTGGTAAATTCAACTTTTTGGCAAAAGCTGAAGAGCAAACAATTAAAACTAAGATCACTTTTAAATACTAGAAGTATGACAAATGATCTATTTTATTAGTTGAAAGATAATTTGTATGTACAAAAGATAATTTGTATGCTTTGTGAAATATAATTTTGTCTGAAACGTTAATAAATTCATCTCTAAGTGTTGCTGACACTATGCCGAAACTCTGAAGACTGTATTTCTAGAGAATAAATCCTAAATATAATTATTTTTTACCAGATAACTGTCAAGAAATGTTGAGAATGATAATGCTATAAAGGAGACACTGTTATCTCTAAAAAAGACTAAGGCAGTTTTGGGGGTTTCTTTTTTTTTTTTTTAAATAAAGATGACCGGTAAGGGGATCTTAACCCTTGACTTGGTGTTGTCAGCACCACGCTCACCCAGTGAGCAACCGGCCATCCCTATATGGGATCCGAACCCATGGCCTTGGTGTTGTCAGCACCGCACTCTCCCGAGTGAGCCACGGGCGGCCCCAACTAAGGCAGTTTTAAGGTGCCTACTTGAATTTGTGAAGTTGATTTTTCTTAAAGTAACACATATTTTTGTTTTAGGAACTGGAACAGTACAAAAGAAGTTCTTCCAAGTCTTGGAAACAAATTGAGCTTGATTCTTGAACCTAATTCAACTATTACATATTTACTTCTTCTTTCCCAAATAAAAGTAAGGGTATTTTGTTAATTAACTATTGTGGCAATATGTAAAGAAAG